AAAAACCAAATTAATGTGTATATCTTTCTATCCATTAAAAACTTCTTTTTCTAACCCAAGTGGTAGTAATTATTTAGCTTAAAATATTATTATATCACAAAAATTGCTTTTACTCAACCTATGTTTTTATCACAAAGAATTATAAAGTAACAGTATAAAATAAATGATAAAATTTTATTTAAATAAAAAAATTTTTATGTAAAAACATTTGGCGCTGCTTAGATCAAACAAAAATGCAAAACTAATGAGATTATTTGAATGTTACAAATAAAGACAAAATTTATTATTTAATATGATTAAATTATAATCACACACACACACACACACACACGCGCGCGCGCGCGCGCACGCACGCACGCACGCACGCACACGCACACAAACAATATGCAAATAATATTATAATCCACTAACGGTTAAAGTTATACATTTATAACATTTCCCGTATACATATTTTACTAATTATATCTTATTAATTATATTTTTATTTGGTTTGAATGGGATGAAGTGGATGCACAACACACGATACCGCTTCTAGATAGCATCGCATAGCCTCTTCAATTCTTATCCTCACTTCCACAAAGTGTGACAGAAGGTCACATGGGTGAACACTGGAGAACTCTCCCTAGGGAACCCAGACAGAGATTAAGTAATCTAGTGGAAGGTAGGATCAGGGCAGACGAAGAAGGGAGGAATGGTCCTCCGAAAAGAGGGTTGGACTATAGGCCAATCACTTATATCCGTTAAAGTTAACGAAATCTCAGAAAGAAGAAGTCAGATGGACTGAATAATGATGACCTTGCAGACGAAATAAGAATATAAAATTGGATACATGGAATACGAGAACATTATATCAAACAGGAGCATTGAAGACACTGCTGGATACGCTCGACAAATACCAACTGGACCTAACGGCTATACAGGAAATGAGATGGACGGGAAGCGGTATTGTAGAAAGGAAAAAGCATATAATTTACTTCAGTTGTCATCAAGACTCTTGATGACCGGCATAATTTTGGAGTCGGATTCATTGTCCTAGACTCAGACAAGCTATAATAAATTTCAAAGCAATTAATCATCGAACATGTAAGCTAAGAGTGACAGAAAGATTCTTTTACTACAGTATAATAAACGCCTAGGCTCCAATTGATGAGAAAACAGAATTAGAAAAAGAAGAGTTTTATGAAGAGCTGGAACAGGCATATAGGAGTTGCCCTAGGATTGATATAAAAATTATAATAGGAGACATGAACGCAAAAATTGGGAAAGAACCCGTATATCACTCCACTGTAGGAAAATTTAGTACACATGAAGAAAGTAATGATAATGGAATTAAAATCATAAACTTAGCAGTATCATTAAATATGACAGTTGCCAGCACATATTTTAAACATAAAAACATATACCTAAGAACTTGGGTCTCCCTAGATCGTTTAACCAAATAGATCATGTATTAATAGACTCCAAATATGGATGTGATGAATTATAAGAGTTATTAGAGCGCCAACATCGACTCGGTAATTATCTGGTCATCACAAGACTTACAGCAAAGGTATTCAACACGAAGAGCGGAAGGACGCGGAAGATAGGAAAGTTAAATATAAGACAGAAATGCTAAAAGATCTCAACATAGTCGCAAGATTCTAAAATCGAATAGAAACAGGACTGGAGAGTATGGCCAAATACGAGGATATCAAAGTTGAGGAAAGATGGGAAAAACTGAAAACAGAATTACATAATGCATGAGGTAGTAAACAGCAAGGAAAAAGAGATCACTGATTTGATGAAGAATACAAGCAGGCCACAGAAGCCAAGAACAAAACATACTGCAGATCAGACGAACGAGAATATTGGTAGAAGAGTACTCCCTAAAAAGAAAGAGGAAAACAGGATACATAAAGCAAAAAAGAGAACGCATTTTAATAAACAATTAGAGGACATAAAAGAATTAAACAGAGAAGAGGAATTCAGGAGGTTCTACAGAAAAGTAAACCTTGCAAGAACAAATTATAGACTGAAAACGTCACAGTGTAGGGACACAGATAGGACCCTATTGAGCAATAAACAGAAGATATTGGAACGATGGGCGCGATACTTTGAATCATTACTCAAGGACCAATCAAACAGAATAGGTCATCTAAGACAAGAAGTGACAAGATAAGGAGGAAACAATTAGAATCGGAACAAAACGAAGATGGAAATGAAAGTGGAAACAACTAATCACCAAGCCAGGAAGAAGTACAACAAGCCTTAGAAAAATTAACGAATAATAAGATCCTAGGAACAGATAACTTAACAGCTGAACTGTTCAAAGTTGCGGGGAGAAGCTATCTAACTCACCTGCATAAACTAACAGTAAAAATATGGATACAGAAGAAGATATTAAATGAGTGGAATACTAAAATAATATGCATCTTTAAGAAAGGCGACAACCTGGAATGTGATAATTACAGAGGGGTGACGCTACTGAACACGGCGTACAAAATTTTCTCGTTCATCCTATGCTTTCGCCTAAAACCGTACGCAGAAAAAATAATAGAAAGATATCAAGCTGGCTTTAGAGCAGAAAAGTCAACAATAGATCAGATCGCAACACTAAGAAAAATACTGGAAAAAACAAGGGAACATGATATTAGCACATATCATATCTTTGTAGATTTCAAATTAACCTACGATAACGTTAATAGACAAGCTCTATATAACGAAATGTAAGAATTTATAATACCAAAGTATTTGATAGATTTAATAAAACTAATTACGGAAAAGATAAGAAATAGGGTCCGAGTGGGAGCAGATCTATCTAGAATAATTACAATAAATAGGATGACGCACTCTCCTGTATTCTGTTTATCATCGCACTAGAAAAAAATCATAAGAACATCAGGCATTAACACCAAGGGCACAATACTTAATAGAAGTATTTCTATTAATAGAAGTGTCTAGCTGCTCGCATATGCGGATGATACAGATAGATACAGGGAGAAGTGAAACATTAATTAAGGAAGCTTTTTTTATTTATAGTTCTAGAAAGCTGCAAAGATAATGGGAGTAGAAATAAACAAAAAACTAAGTATATGGCAGTGACAAGAACATCCCAAAATCAAAGAAGTAACCTGATGATAAACGAACAAACTATTAAAGCAGTCGTGATCCGAATTCTATCTCGACTCTTTACTTAACGCAAATAATAACATCATCGATGATATTAAGAAGAGAATTCTAGCAGTCAACAGATACTATTTCGGACTAGCAAGACAACTAAAATTGCGGAACATCTCACGAAACACAAAGATAAAAATCTACAAGGTGCTAATACGATCAGTCCTGACATACGGCTCAGAAACATAGATACTCACACAGAAAGACGAATCCTTCCTGAGGACGTCTGAAAGGAAAGTATTAAGAATCATATATGAAGCTACCGAGGATAATAGAATATGCAGAAATTTATAATTTTGAACTATATCAACTATATAGGAATATATACTAACTGTATCAACTAACTATATAGGAAATCAAACATTATAAAAACCATCAAAATCAACAGATTAAGGTGGGTGAGACATGTCATGAGAACGATGATGGAAAATGGCGTTGGAGGATATCACCGTTGCAGTCCGACCTGCATCCGTCGAGAGACTAGAACTATCATCTCTACCATCATCTCTCTGAAGTACCGGTCGTAGGGATTCGAGA